ACACACACACACACACCTGGAGAATACCAAATATAGCTGTAGCCCTTCAGATGAATTCCCCTTCCTGTCTGTTCCAAATCCTTCCAATATGAAGACACTTTCCCTCTCTGCCCACATAAGCCTGACTGTCAAGCCTGGATCCAGTGTAACACTTGAATGCACAATTTATTTCTGACGTGCATATGCTAGTTGATCATATAGAACATGACAGACATTATTCACATCACATTACCCGTTCAAATAGCAAGCCACTGTTTGTGTCAAGGTGGAAGAGCTCCTGTGCAGCACAGTGCTCCTTTATTGTTGCCATATTATATAACCACACAACTGCAGGATGTTTAAATCATGATGATGAATTACTTTATATTAGCCTTCATTCTCTATTTCTTCATCGGGCACAGAATAGAAATTGGACAGCACAAAATTAATTCAAAATTCAATTTCTCTCCTCTATCCACCACATTGCACTTTATGACTGAAAACTACTCAACTCACTGTCTCGTTAAAATGCCGTCCGATAATTTGTATGTTGTCAAAATGTCTGATATCATTTAAATAAGGCTGTTCTGAACCCGGCTAAGTTTTGACAGTGGCAAGCAGTAGCAGTTTTTCATCGTGAGAGGTCTGTCGTTATCATGCTAATCAGACAGAATGGCTGGCAATTATTTGTCTGTGATTGTGCTCTTCGACGCTTGGCAGGATGCTGGCGGAGGAGCTGCAACTGCTCCTTTAATTAGGCTTACTGGTGCCGGGCTTCAAGGAGAAGAAAGGAGGGGAAAAGAAAGGAGGGGAGAGGCAGAGAGGGAGAGGGAAGAGAGAGGCAGAAAGAAACCGGAGAGATGGAAAGAGAAGGAAAAAGGGAGTAAGGAAGAGGGTTGGGGTGGGGGGATTATGTTTTTATGAATCACACTAATGCAATCTATCTATAGTAAATCCAGTGAGTGGGATAGAACAGAGGCTTCAGCCATTCAGCAGGGGAGTCCAAGCATTTACAGGAGCTTGTTAGCTGACTCTACTCTCTAATTTATCTCTGTTCATCCCAAAGGCAGGAGGATATATGCTGTAATGTAAAAGACAAACAGGCTTAAGGCCCAGGGGAAATGGTGTAAAGATCTGTTTGATCAGTGACTAATTTAGAAGACCAAAGCTATTGATTATATCTATTTATACATATCAGTTATATGGAGCTGGCTGGTGTATTACAAAATTAAACCTTACATAAAATCACATATTGACAGAATTTCTAGATAATGGAATAAAGTAATATAAAAGATACTAAAAACATTGTAGATATTCTGGATGTACCTTGCCAGCTTGTGTTTTTTCACCCTCCTCTTTGTATTTGACTTTTAAAGTCTATGTGGCGTCTGAAAAAAATCCAAACAATGCAGCTTTTTTGCTGATTTGTGTGTTCTTGTGTGTATAGGCTTTGATAAATACCCTGCGTTTTCCTTTTTTGCAGTCAGGGATGGCGCATTAGGACAATGTGAGACTCCTAAAGATCCCCGTTATCCAGACTGTCCCAGCAAGATGGATGTAAGTCTTTATATCTCATTTAAGTCCAAACAATTTCACACACACAGAGCAAACATCACGTTGTCCTCTCTTGGTGACTCACCTTGGTGCAACATAAATTTTGTATAATAAGATAAGAGGATGTGTAAAGGCTCCTTGTAGAGAGGTGGGTTGTGTTGACAACAAATTGTGCCAGATGACAACGAGAATATGGAAAAGAATAATAAAAGAACAAAGTAAGGTTTTATAAATACACTGTTTATATAATTACATTGTATAGCCACAGCAGAAAATTGCATTGTGTACCTTTTTAATTTATTAGCATAAACAATACAGCATGCCCAACACATGTTTCTTTCTATTAGTTTGCCTGGAAATGTGTGAAAAGTATGCATCTGTTCAGTATATAGCCATAGCTCAGAGGTGTGCATTAACTGTTTACCACACATGTACACTAACATTTATAGAAAAACATACATACGCAAGATACATATTCTTAGTATCACAATCATGTTTATGGATGAATTAGGCCGCCATACATTAGGCCTGCAATACCCACACCACATGAACACACCACACACGTAATATGTACTAATTAGAGACAGCTCTAGGTTGTGTGGGCTGTACTGGCTGTACTTTAGTGTAACCTCACAGTTTCAGGTGTTTTTATACAGAACACAGTTTAGGTCCTGTCAGCAGATAACAGAAGGCAACCCTAACCTGGAGAAGGATGTTTCCATTAGCTCTCCAAATAAAGAGCGGGACATGCCGTTCTGGTTGGAACTCAGTGAAGTTCTCTCCCTCCCTGAAGGTCGCCACCTTGCAAAAGCCTAATGTTAGTTCAGCCTAATACCAAAACCAGACACTTTCACTATTTTACTATCCTGCCTACTGCCTCCACTTGGATGTCCACCACTGCAAAGAACAAGGCATGTGAGAAAATTAGTTGACCTGAACTTTTGAAGACAAAATCTGCCCCCTCTCTCTCTGACATCTTTATCACGTTTGCCCTTATGGATGAGCTCGTCATGCTGTTGCTGGCTCCACCTGTGAACGGGAATCCATGAAAACTCAATTATCAGGGGTACCTGACCACAGAGCATCAAAGGTTCATGTAGTCAGCTCAGCCAAGATAACAACTTAGGCGTCAAATTGAAGTTGAAGTTAAAATTTGACAGCAAAGTTTCGCACGATCAGCTTTTGTCAGTTTTAAAATGATGGGAGGACCTAGGGGTGGATAAACCTGCCTCTAATGACACCTTTTTACATATCTAGTCAAATGTAATATTTTGCCAATAACTGAGTAGTAGTAGGAGTATATTTAACATTTTTGAGAGATAATCACTCTTTGCCTCCCCAGTGGATGCGCGCTCGTTGGACCTCGGACCCTTGCTATGCCTTTTATGGTGTGGACGGCTCTGATTGCTCCTTCCTTGTCTACCTGAGCGAGGTGGAATGGTTCTGCCCCCCACTGGCCTGGAGGAACCAGACTGTCACACCCACCTTGAAGCCTCCGCCCAAGATACAGGTAACGCAACATTTCCTTATCGTTTTTTTTAATTGCACGACGACACAGTTAGCTGAAGGAGGGTAAATAGGAGCAGAGCACAGGGCAACAGTTTGACAGAGAGGGTAAAACAGTTTTCCCCTACTGCAGAGACTTTCCTCATAAGCACAAGCAGTCAGGACCAGGTTTCTCACAACTGCTCAGTTTCTAGAGGAGGATCCAGGGAAGGATCTTAAAGTATGAAATTCTGACAGTTAATATTTTCGATGGCAATGAAAAGAGCCAGCAGATGACTCAACTGAGAAGGAACATAGTTGTCTGCACTCTTCACATGGCAGCGACGGTGTAGCAGTGAGAAGGAATTTGAGTGATGAAAAGCAGAATGCTAAACATCAAGGTGCTCTAAAAAACACTGCTACTGTAGATTTTGTAGTTTGATGCTGATGCTACAGAGTTGCCTATTTTCCAAGTTAAAGCGGAGGATTTCTAACCAAATTTTTTATGATGATCAATAGCTCCTGGGAGAGTCTAAATACCTAACTGCACGCTGTCTCTCACAGGGTGCTGGCTGTCATTCACAGTTTTCATTGCTGTTTGCCTCCCTGCATCTTTTAACTTTTAAATTTCAGCACCAGCACATGATGCATTGTACTTACAATCACTCCTCCAGGTTTATCCCAGCGTTCGCCTCTGTCCCCTCCTCCCTCTCTCTCCCCAGAGTAATGTACAGCCGGCACGGCGGCCCCTGATGTGAATTCATTCTGCGGCACTACCTTCTGCTCTAATTGCCAGCCTGTATTCACTGAGTATAATCCCAAGGCTTCCCACGGGTACTCTGCATTTTGCTGTGCCGTACACAAGTTGCTCTTGAGAACAATAATTCACCTGCTTTGTGAGAGTACAGTACAGCTCTGCATATTGATTTTGCCTTTGAGAAAGTGAGAGTTTCTTTTATAGCGTCAGTGTGTTTGAGAGTGACAGTTTGTGTTTTTGTGCATCAGTTTTTTTCTCTGTACTTTTATAAGTCCTTTGTGCTCCCCCATGCAGTTACTCCATTGATTAATGCATGCTGGTATTGCACTGTGATGCTGTGATTATAGTGGGAAGAGGAGGAGATGTAAAATGAGAGCAGACTATTTATGAGGGATGATCCAGGAATCCCTCAGGCAACCTGTCTGAGAGCACTAGCCCCGGGGCACTAACAGATAACAGGATGTGACATACTCTCTGTGCATTATACAATCCTAACCACCTCCAATGAAAATGTAGAAAACGACATCTATTCTGTAGTAGTTTTTAAGTATCCCACCCCTTCTGCTTCAGGCCAAGTTATAAATCTGAATACCAGCCTTGTATTTTCTGGTTGAACCTCTGCACAAGATGCACATAAAGAAATGAAACACCGGCTTATCAAAAAGGCCACAGCAGAAGTTCTCTACACATAGGATCCTTTCCAGTGATTTTTCTGTTATTTTTTTGCTCCCGTCATCCAGGCTGTTTTCCAGTCTGACATTGGGAGTCTGCTGGAGCAGGTGGGCACCGGGAAGGAATCACTGAGCTTCATGAAGAGACGCATACGCAGGCTGGCAGCGCAGTGGGCCTCTGCTGCTCGACGGCTGGATGACAAGCTCCGCAGCCACTGGAGAGAGCAGAAAAGGGTGAATATGAGGCATTCTGCAGGATGAAAGTGAAGGCAATGAGAACAAGCCTCTGTTGTGGTTTCATCTTTTCAAAGTGCTGTGGCTGCAACAGACTGCAGATGATGCGCCAGTAGAACGGGGCTTTACTCAGTTTCAACAGATCTATTTTCTTGTTTTTTCTGTAACTCACAACACATCTCTCAGCTCCTAATTTAAAGTAAATCCATCTGTTTAAGCATTAGAGAAAAAAAATAACAGGATGTTTTGGATCAAACAGTTCTGAGAAAGTCAGACAGTCCTTTAATGCCCACATGCTAGGCTGCTAAGTTACCAGAACAGCTGTGACATTTTGTTGGACTAACATTTTCTTCTTTTATCTGCGGCTACTCAGTGTGAATGGCAGAATGTTGAGTAACAGACATAAGTAGATAATGACGCAGCATAACTCCTAGCAGGCATTGATTGGCTTTGGTGCACTTTCCCACACTGACATTTACAGGGACATTTCCACAGAGTGTCAGAGTGCTGCCTGCTGGAACAGACGTCTGATGAAATGGCAATGACTTTACATCCCTTCTGGCGTATATGTTAAAACCTTTACAAGATGCTATACTACTTGTATACCGCTACTTAATTACCCCAGAAATATGCAGAAAATCAGGAAATAATACGATATTGCGCAGAACAACCGATACTCAGGATAGTACCGACTCAGTCCTCTAAACTGCTACACTTTCATCCTTTTATTGTCGAGTTATTTTTGGCCTTTTGTGGATGTTGACACGCGTTGTTTGGTGTTGAAATGTTCTTCTATTGTTGCCTGTGGGGTGCCAGCCAGCAGTCTTCTTTTGCATTGGACTGCTCAGTTTTGTGGTCCAAAATATAGCGATTAAAAATAACCAAGTAATGGTTGATACAGTCAGAAATTCAACCAATCAATCATGCAGAGATTATAATGTATTATAATATGAAATGGGTATTTTGCAAACATTAAAAACATCCTCATCCATTTGAAATGACATCATCAGCATCACTATCACACTCTCAAAATAGATAAACTCCACCATACTTGGCACAATCCTGGTGAATAATGTGTGTAGCTTTTAGTGTGGTTCTCTACTATACAGTATTCTTATCCACATACATTTACATACAGTATGAGGTTCCTTATCACTGCCTGACATGTGGGAACATTAACTCTGACAAACATATGATTAACATTATGGAATCTTTGCACACCCAATAACATAAGTGACTTAGCTCAGCGGCTTATACTCACACTATAGGTGAGCTGTAAATGTGGGAGATAAAGAGACCTGCACATCTGTTGAGCACATGAGAAATGTATGTATCCGATTCGGATATTAACAAGAGAATGTAGCTCTGGATGTGCTGTTGTCGTGGGGATAATAAAAATAGCACCTGGGACACAAAGATACGGTGCCTGGGACAATTCTGGGACAGTAGAGAAACTTGTCCTTACCAATGACTTTATTACATTTATGTGTCATGGAGTGTATATCATTTTAATTTTTAGGTGTTCAAATTTGAAAGAAACAGGAATTCAGCCAGCGAAAAGAATAAACATCTAGGGTGATTTTATTTTTTTGTGCAAGGAACAACTAGAATGGCGGATTAGAGTGAGTCAAAGCAGTCATGCAAGTTATGTTGAATGAAAAAAAGGAAAACTTTAATTTGGGACAGTTGAAAGTAGAATTTGGGACAGTCAAAATCTGTACCCTATTAAGAACATGCTGTATACTCAACACCTGTTAAGTATACACCACTGCAGGGAGAAAAATGCAGTCACCAAATAATTTGCATATGTATAAAAATAAAAAGGCAACCTTAACTAGGGCATTTCAAGTTTATTTTGCCTCAAACAGTATTTATCTCTCGCCCTTTTTTCAATATGTGCATGCATGCTGTGTGCACCTCTATATGGGGTATCATATTAACATAGCACAGTGCCATTATAATGTAGGTTTGCATCTTGTTTGTAGTTGAGCATTGAATTATAGATAATTTTACTTCTGTGGACATGTGGATAGATCTCCACAAATCCCTCTGTAGCTGAATAGAGGCTTGATACTCCAAAAGCTTAAATGAAACATGGGGAATGAAAGAAATTCATTTGTAGTGTTTTGCTTTTTGTAAACGAGCTGACAGTATCCTGGCGTTCTGCTGTGTGTGGTTTGATCAGTTTCTTTCATCGGCCAGTTTTCAGCCGGATAAATCAGAGCCGGTTCTGTAAATAACATTACACTCATTCCCAAATGCTTGCTTCTTCCCCACTGGGGAGAGGGCTTTGTTTATTGTAATGGTGTGTTTGACAGTAATGGTTACTGCCCATTAACCAGACCCTGCAGGCTTGGCTTCCATCGCTGAAACATTGAGCGCTGTTGAGAAAACAGATATAGAGAAATGAGATGTTTTATGGAACGTCTCTGCCCAACCTGTCTGCGTTTTCTGCCTCCTGTTCTGTCATGCTTGGTATCCATGGAAAGCATACTTATCTGCTCTGTAAATCACACACAAATCAGAAGCCAGAAGGGACACATTTATTTCATACGTTTAATGATGGTGCCGCTATCTTAGCATTGAGTACTGCATGTGTGTTGATAGACAACCTATGCAGTGCCTAAAAACATACTGTCACAAAAGATGTTTCCTTTTACCTAAATCTGAACCAAGCCTTCTCTCTAATGTTCTATGCTTAACCTGACCCCAACCAGTTATCTCTGCTAGGCCTAACCATAACAGGACCTAAGACCTCCTCCAACTGCAGAGGGGGGCACTATAAGAAACTCTTTTTGAAGGGGGAATAGACTTTGACACTTGTTCTCAGCCTGCCAGCTGCTGTCAGTACAAAATTTGAGCCCTGTGTTTTTTCTACTTATATATAGTTACTGTTCAATAACAATCATCGTTATATTCCATGTCTTTGCTTTGTTCTTTCACCCTGTCAATGCGCGTTCTTCCTGATTTCTTCCGCATGTGGCATTACTGTTGGGACAGTGAGTTTTACATCTGACATGTGGTGTGGACAGCGCTGCAGGCTAAGCAGCTGTGTGGCTCACACACAGGGAATATCCATTGTGTCAGGAGTGTAGGAGATGAAATTTTGAATTGGATTGGTATCAGAACTGCAAAGCTGGTATTGAGCCATTTCTAATTATAAGATTTAAGTCTGAAAAGCACCCATCTGAAAACCAATTTAGCTAAGTCAGATACATACTGGACCAGTCAGTGAAACATGGCAAAAGTCTAAATGCTGATCTCTCAAAAGCATCTTTTTAAAAAAGACCTTGTTGATATGAAGTGAAACATGAATCTGCAGCTCTATTAGTCTCAAAGTTATTCAGAAATTGCTGAATAAAAATAGATGAATAAAATTGCCTTTGAAAGTTTTTTTTTTTTTGTTGTTTTGCAATTGACAAAAAAATTAAATGCTGCCATCTGTTGAAAAATCTAATTTCATTACATATTTAACAGTGTGGAAATTCCACCCTTCCCCATCAGCAATTATATCGTTTGTGTATCATTCTGCATATCAATTAGCCCTCTGCAGGTCAATTTTCATTTCA